AATCTGAGGATGCTGAGGGGAGCAAGAGCAGGGCACGGCCAGGCTGGGACAGGGGCTTTGTTTGGTGCCAGGCTGGGGGGAAACCATGTCTGCCTCCTCCAGTGCCCCCCTAAAATGGGGGCGAGATGCCGTCCCCCTCGGAGCCCTCTGCTCTGGAAAGCACGTCCCCCCTCCGCAGGTCCCTGCGTGCCTGCCCCAGCGTACGTGACCTTTCTGAGGAGCCCCAGGAGCTCGAAGGCCCCATTAATTGGTGATAAAAGGCTTTGTTTGTCCTCCCACCACACTGCCTGCGGCTTTATCGGAGGAGCTGAGCACACTCTGAAGTCACTCCGGGGGCTATCTTGGGTACTGTCCTTCTCCAGCACAGATTGATAACAGCCCGGCGGTAAACACGGCCGGGAGCGAGGGGGGGGGATAAACCCCCCCATGCCAGCCCCCAGTGACCTCCTCAGCGTTGGGGGGGGGACACGGCGGGTGGGGAGAGCTTGGGCACCCCACCAGGTGGGGAAATGGCTTTTTTTTGGGGGGTGAAAGAAGAAGTGGGGCGTGAATCCGTTGCCGTTGGGGGAGCGGGTGGCATCCTAGGGAAGCAGTGGGGCAGAGGGAATATGTGGGGAGCTGGGAACAAGCCCTGGCTTGTGCCCGTGGCACGCAGGGCTACTGGCTGTGTTTCTGGGGACAAAAAAATGAACAAACCCCAACCCCAGCTGTTAAAAATATACACGGGTATTGGTGCGCTCGCCGCGCAATCCAGAGGTATGCACCGAGGCGCTCGGAAAGAGTTGGATGGGGCTCGGGATGGACAAAAAAATGAACAAACCCCAACCCCAGCTGTTAAAAATATACACGGGTATTCGTGCGCTTGCCGCGCAATCCAGAGGTATGCACCGAGGCGCTCGGAAAGAGTTGGATGGGGCTCGGGATCCTGTTTGTAACAAAATCGAGCTCCTGGGTTGTTTTTTTTTTCCCCCCCGCAACCACCAAGTCATCAGGGCTGGAAATAGATGAGGAACTGCTGGCTTTGGGGTGAAAACAGGGGGAAAAATGGCAAATAAACAAACAAACAAACAACAAAAAAAAAAGAGGCAAAGGACCACAGGGATAGGCGCCTTGCTAAAAATAAGCTTGAATTCTGGAGCTGAGCATAAATATTTTTCTTTCTTTTACCATCAGCGCCTGGTAGGCAGGGGAGCGAGCAGCCTCTGGGGTGATGGCTGGTTTTAAAGTGAAAAAGCAATTTTTGATCTTGGAAAAACACCCTAATGTGATGCTGAGCGCTTGCACCTCTGCTGGGAGGGCAGGCGTCGCGGGGCTCGCAGCTCCTTCCTCCTTCCCAAAAGAGACCGCGACTCCGGCTGCTCCTCTGCCAGCTGAGGCTCTAGAAAATGGTTTTGGGGGCTAGAAGGGCAAGTTTTAACTATAGTTTTAGTAATCCCTGCGCTTCCCCTCCTCGGGGCACTACTCCTGGCGTGACCCCAGCGTGATTTCTGCGGCCGAGCAGCGTTGTCTTTCCCCCGCCTCAACCCAACGTCCTTTGTAGGGAGAAGCAGAGCGGGGAGAGGGCGGGGGGGGGATGATGGATGAAACTTTCTGGACGGCCTGTTCCTGGCTGGCTGCGCCTCCCGGGACATTCCCCCCACCCCTCCAGGATGAGATTTGCTCCCGTTTCCATCCCGGGCGGCTTCGCAAAGGGTTAAGTGGGAGCTGTGGGGAGCGTGAGCAGGAGGAGGAGGAGGAGGAGGAGGAGGAGATGTACGGGGGGCTCAGCGAGTGCCTCGGCGCACGTCGGATGGGAAACTTGCCCCATGTATGGTAGAGGGGGGGCAAATTCCTGTATAGTCCCCCATCTTCACATTGGTTCCCAGCAGCTCCGTTGGCCAAAAAACCCCCACTTTTAGGTAGATTTACATGTTATTTCAGCAGAAGGTGGCCGACAAGGGTGGGCAGCGAGGCTGGTGTGATCCTCTGCAGCCAAGTGGGGAATGACACGAGGGGACTGAGCTGGGGAGGGGACACACAGAGTGTTTTTTTGGGGTGTTCCCTAAGTGTTTGGGGTGCGGGTGTCCTTTGCACGCTCTCCAGACCTGTCCTCTGTCACTGGCTCGTGGTGGGGGGTGATGGGGACACCAGAGGTGACCCCCAAGCATCCTGTGCCACCCTGCTGAGCCTGTAGCCAGCTCCCCCCACCCTGCCGTGGGGCTGTGGGGCTGTGGTGGCAGGTCCAAATGGCCTCTTGCCCCCCCAGAGAAGCAGCAGAAGCGAGGGACGTGCGTTTGAGGGGGGACAACTTTTGGAAACGGAGCTGCTGAGAGCCCTGTCAGAGCGGGGGCTGGGAAATTCATCTCTCCTGGGATGCGTTTGCTCCCCCCCCAACTCTGGGTAAAAGCCAGGAGTCGGTGTGTTTTGGGGGGTGCTGCCCCAGGCTCCCACATCCTCGGGGAGCGGGGAGGCCCTCCCCAGCCGGCTGTTTTGGCCGGACGAGCGCGTGCCTTGGCAGCGTCCCCAGCCCGAGGAGCTGGGGAGGAGGGGAGGCGTGAGCGGGGCCTGCGCGCCGGTACATAACGTTCTGCTGCAAGCACCCACAGGAAAACCAACCAGCAGCCCTGAACGGGGCTCTTTGTTCAGGGTTTGGGTTTGGTGGTTGGGTTTTTTTTTTATTTATTTTATTATTTTCCCTCCCCGCATCAACTTTTGCTCGCAGCTGACGGGCTCCCTTCCCCCCCCGGCTGCTCCGCTCCCAGCTGCAGCCTCCAACCAACCCCCCCCCTGAGCTGCACATTGATGCTGGGGGGCAAAAAGGGGGGGAAAACGGTGCTTCACAACCCTCCCGAGGAGCAGGAGGAATTGCTGGCTCCACGAAGCAGAAACAGGGCATCCAAACCTGCATTTGGAGGAAGGGGAGCGCAGGGTTGGGTTTTTTCTGGTTGTTATTTTTTTTTAATTAATTTTACCGTGCAGCAATCCTGCTGGTTTTCACCGCCCTTCATCAAGTGTTTACTGAGCAGGCGGAGGGAACGGCCAACAACATGTTTTTGCATTTGTAGTACTGTACAGAGTGAACTTTTCACTTCCTCTCCATGGCTCTCGCACATGTGTCTATTTTGGTGCTTGGGCGCACATACAAACACGCCGTGTACCCAACGGAGCCGGGGCCCTTCCCTGCTCCTGCTCTCAGAAACGCTTGGAAAACAAGGAATGGGAGGAGGGGAGGGAAGGAGAGGAGGAAGGGGGGGGGGCAGAAATCTCAGCCCCTGCTGTGTTATGGACATTTTGGCACTCCTCGGGCTGGCGGGGAGATCTGGGTGATGCTTGGGCACCGCATCCCCTCGGCAGAGCCGCAGGCGCCAGTCCCTCGGCATCCCCGGAGGGGAAAACCACCCCAGTGGAGCAGTAAAACTTCAGTAAAAGCAGTAAAAAAGGAAAAGCTCTTTCTGCATCTCATTAGGCTGGCGGCAGCACGCGGGGTTGGCGAGCGGGTGGGACTGGGGGGGGGTGAGCGAGGAGGGTTTGGGGGGCTCCGTTCCCAAACCCCACACTGTTCCTTTGATACGGGGCTATTTTGGGGGGGGAGGCAAGTTTGGCCAAGGTAAGTTGGCTTCAAGGTAAGTATGGCTTCAAGTTGGAGGGGAACAGATTTAGATTGGAGATGAGGAGAGGGTTCTTCACTGTGAGGGTGGTGGAGCACTGGAACAGGTTGCCCAGGGAGGTGGTTGAGGCCCCTTCCCTGGAGATATTCAAGGAGAGGCTCGACGAGGCCCTGGGCAACCTGGTCTAGTTGGGGGTGTCCCTGCTGACTGCGGGGGGGTCGGACTAGATGGAGCCTTTGGAGGTCCCTTCCGGCCTGGACAACTCTATGATTCTATGATTCTATAAGTTTAGGGGGCTGGAGGGAGCAGGATTAAAAATAAAACACGCGAAACCAATGCAACAAACGAGCCCAGCCTGGACCATTCTATGATTCTATAAGTTTAGGTGGCTGGAGGGAGCAGGATTAAAAATAACCCCCCGAACCCAACGCAACAAACGAGTTGCCGATGGAAAACGCTCCCCTTCTTTTCAAAATAACCCCACCTGGGATGGCGCTTTCCCCACTGAAGGCCGTGGCCTTTTGAAGGCAGGGAGGCCCCCGCGGAGCAAAGGGGCTGGCAGCCCTCCAAGTGCCGGGGGGGAGGAGGAGGTTTTCCGGGCCCCGCGACAGGAGGGGGAGGCGGCGTGGGACACGTCTGGGCCTTACGTGAGAAGGCCCGCACGCCGCCGCGCTGCACAAACCGCAGGGTGAATTTCCACGGGGTGCGGGGGACTGGCCTTTTTTTTGGGCAGCGTGTGGCTCTGGATCACAAAAAAGCTGACTCTGATACAAGAATTAATTTATAAGCAGCAAGCAACAGAGAACACCTCTGCATATTTTTTTCCCTTCGTTTTAGCTAACGCAAATCGCCGGTGATACAACTGAGACGGGGATGGATTCAAATTAATCTGTTTCCATCCAGATGTAGTGAGTAAAAATAAAATGATCTCGTCAATAAGCTGTTGCAAATGGCAGAATTTAGGCATCTGGAGCAGTAAGTCGTTAGGATTGCCTAAATACAGTGCTGAGCTTATCCCCCTGCTGGCCAGGGAAACCCAGGAGTTAAGGCTCTAATCAATGGAAAATTAACATGTTGAAATGGTTACGCCGGAAAAATGGAAATCCAGTTCCCCTCAAGAGCAGAACTGAAGTACAAATGAAAATTGAGATGATTAAAATGGATGGGTTTAAAGAAGGGCCTTCTGCTGGTGGAGTTAAACCAGGGTTAAAATCTGATTTAAATCAATCCACTTCTGAGCGTAAAGCGAGTGTGGTTTGGTTCCTCTCAGAGGGTTGGTTTTTTTTAAAATTGAAAGTTGACCATCGCCAACAGCCAAGCTGCCTCTGAGCCTCGTTAAACCTCCCGCTGCCTACCCAGCAGCCCATCGTTCCTTTCATCAGACCCCCCCACACCGAGCTTCGAGGAGATAAATTGTTTCAAAGACAAGAATTATTTTATTATCACAGAGTGATCTAATCAATAGCCAAGAGGAAGAAGAGTTTCAAAGATAGAGCTTCTGTGTTGGAGAGCACCATCCCACCAGCGCTCGCTGTGCAGAGGCAAGAGAAACAGCAAGGGAGAGACCCGTGTTGGCAACACACCCGTGTGCCTCTGGAGAAGGAAGTGTCACCACTCATCCCTTCTCATCCTCTTCATCCCCCAAAACAACGGCCAGGGCTGAAGAGTGATTTTGGCAGGGTGTCATTCCCTCTGCTCAACACAGGCCTGGCTTGAGCAGCAAAGACACAACTCCTCAGCTCGTGGATCACCCAGACCTTCAGCCACGTGCCGGGGAAAGGCCAGGCCGAGCCACTGGGTTGTTTTCCCCACCACCGCCCCGCTGTAAGTCTTCCCTCCTCCGTAAACAATAAGGTGATTCTCCGAGTTGTGTAAAACTGATCCTACCTTCTAAGTTACAGAACCCGAGCCCTGCCAGACTGTAACGCTGCAGAGGACTTAAAGAATCCTGTCATTTCCACTCACTGGCAGCTTTACGGGGGGGATCCTCGCTCTCAACTTAAAAAAATAGCCCAGTGCTGCCGATGCAGCTGTCAGCATCCTGATAAATGGGGGTGTGTTTTGAAGCCAGGCCAGAGAATGTTTTTCTTCTGCTCCCTGACAGCAGCGATCCAGACACGCTCAGCCCGAGGAGGGAGTGAAGCCCAGGAGCTGCTCTATTGGCTTGTACCTCCACTCATCTGCCTCCAGCTCTTCCACCAGACCAGCTAGTTTTTCCATCCGTGCCACTTGTTGATCTGCGAGAAGTTCAAAGGTAACCGTGGTTTGCAACGACAGCGCAATTAAAGCTCTCAATTAGATGCAAATTCCCGGCTGTCAATGGGGAAACAGAGTAGGATCAAACCCCACCGAGCCTATCTGAACACAAACCCACCCTACGTGACACCCTGTGTGAAAACAGTGAGACCTCAGCAGGTCACAGAAGAAAGCAGGGACAGGCTTTTCTGCCTCGTCCAGCACCAAATATCTTTATTTACCCATCCCTGCCCGTGCCCTGTAAATTCAAGTCCTGACAGGGAAACCCGAGGCCCATTAGCGTACGGGGGTGAAGACAGGATGAAGCTCATTTCTTTAGCATAAATATTTATAGCGTAAAAGAAGAGAGGAGTTCAGAGGGAGCTCGCTCGGCCCGCGGCAGAGCTGGGTGCAGCACAAGGAACTCGCTAGTTTTAATGAACTTTGAGCAGGACCAGGGTGACTGTAGCAGAAAGGCCCTGCCATCAGAGCGTGCTAACGAGGCGAAGGTCCCCGCGCAGAGATCCCTGAGACAACTTGTTCCTCTCAGTTTTATTTAAAATGGGTTGTGCGTTGGGCACGCAGGCTCCAGTTTCCATTTAATGAGCTGCAGCAGTAGGGAGATGAGAACAGCCCTCCTGCTCTTGGCTCTGCTGGAAGTTTAACAGCGCGGCGGCCTCTTGGAAAAACGGCCCAGTGTGAGCTGACTTGCTATAGCAAGAGGTGTAACATAAAATGCACAATTTGTGCTGACTGCAGCAGCGGGTGCTTTCCAGAGGGACTCTTCTCACTCCACCTGCCACAACCAAGGTGTGGGCAAACAAACAAGCCCAAAAAAACGATGACCTTCACCTTTTTTTGAAGCCTTTCCCCTTTCTTACAGGGGAGGAGAGTGGTGCTCTGCAAACCAGTTTGAAAGGCTGGCGCTTATGTGGGTGCTGGTCTGCACAGCAACCCCTGGTAGCTACAGCTGCAACGGCGCCGGAGCCACGGAAGCAACAGCTCTGGAGTTCAGCTTTGCTTTTCAGTTCAGAAACACAGGATCACGGCCTCGCAAGCTGCTGCACGGCCCCCAGACCTCCTCCTGGCAACCCTCCCTGGTGAATGGAGTACAGGAAACCTGAGACAACACGTGGAAGTACCCCTCATAGCCGACAAGAGGTGGGGACCAGAAAGGATGTGACCCTTGAGCTGAGCTCTGCCCAACGTCTTGAGAACGTTGCGCAGTCAAGCCCATCGTTCAGTTACAGGCACCTGGGTGCAGGCAAAGGCCCCGGGAGGGAAGGAGAAGTTCAGACAAGACGTTAGGGCTCTTTCCTGGGGAGGCAGGGAGTGGAGTGAGCCCCGTCACGCCACCCCACGCCAGCCACCTGCGCGTCTGCCTCCCGAGCACCTTTGGAAACCTGGCGTGACCCTGCCGGGTGTCACTACAGCTCAACAGAGAAACAAAGGTGGAATCAAGTGTCTCTTTGCCCAAGGCCAAAGAGACAGTCAGCGCTGGGCCAAGATCAGAGCAGCATGGGCGTTTCCTGCCCATAACCTCCTCTTCTGGCCTCACCTCTCGCGAAGGCAGCGCGGCGCACGGCCATGGAAAAACAAGCTGTGAAGGGCACAGCCTGTTCCCACCCAGGCTGTGTGGGTTCCCGCCGCTTTGCATAGGGCTTGCAAGAGGACTCAAATGATGGTCTGACTTAGCCTTCATTTGCCAACTTAAAAGGCTATTCTGCTTTTTTGTGGTTGGCACCCGAGAACGTGTCAGCCTTTTTCTCCGCGCTCCCCTGCCATCTTCCCCAATCGACACGCAGTTAACACAGATGTCGCTTCGGTGCTTACCGTGTTTCACTTGCTTTAATGTAGATGCAACCTGATAGCTGAAGACAGACTCACAGAGGAATCTTTCGGAGCCATCTGTAAGCAGAAAAAGGGAGGTGGTTTTAATCTGAGAGTTTGAAGACTGAGCAAACCTTAACCGAGCGCCGCCGACCTTCTATTTTTACGTTTGAGGTGTGGGTTTCCCCATTTGCCTACTCTGACACTTTCCCCTGCGCCGAGGACGCAACGCTCTGGTTTCCATCCTGCACAGCCCCACACTCAAATCCTGTGCGGGGCTTTGGCTGGCTCTCCGTGCCGCCGGGGAACGGCTGCGCTACCTGGGAGGTGTCCCAGCTGATATCCTCTTACGTCCCCTCTCTCGAGCAATTTTAGTCCATTTTAAATAGGAGGTAAGCTAAGGAGAAGCCAGCTAATATTACAGCAGTCTCTGCTTCCCTCAGGGCTCAAAGACTTGGGTCCTTATAATGCTTTACGATTTCCCACAGGCTTAGACCATAACCCCGCATAAAGGATTTCAAATAATGTGTATCTTGCCATCTAAATCAGTAATTGATCACACAACTGTCTCAGAAGTAAAGCAATCTGGAATACATGGCTAATTGTATGCCAAGGACTGACAGAGTTTATACTACTTCCTTCTAAAAAATCCCCAAAGTTTATTTAAAAGCAAACAAGACAGTTAAGGTAACAATAAAAATCCGTCAGTTAGTGGGGATTTTTGAAAGGGAAACTGGTCTGGAGCTACCCAACTAGCACCTGCCTGCTGAAAGAATGGGTGTTATCACCTTTTATCTCAGACATTAAAAACTAACTTAAAGCTTAGTTGTTGCTTCCACCCAGAGCAGACGGGCCGCTGGGTTACTGGTAAAGAGGTCAGCCCAAAGCAAAATCAAGTAAAAGCTTCATGCCATAAAAATGAGGAAGAGAAGCAATTTCAAAGGCTAAGGGTAGAAACAGACCCCGGGCCCTGGAAAATCTAATCTGAAGCTGAACCCCAGGAGTTTTGCGATGCTCAGAGCATCCTCCTGCTGCTGAAACGCTGTGTTGGTGCTGCCCCGTGCTATTCCCAAACGTATCCTTCCCTCTCCCTCTGACTCCTCAGCCCAGCCGTCCTGCCGAGCACTCTCGGGAGGAAGAGCTGTCTGTCTATTTGGTAACACAAAGTGCTTCATTATTTTAATTTGTTTTGAGGGCTTCTTAAGTTCTATGAGCAAGCCTTTAGTCATAATTACTTCAATAGACCTGCGTATGGGCTCTAATGTGTAATAAAACCAGTCCTTAAAGGAGGTAGCGCTCAGTTCCCAGCTGCCCTGCGCTGCCGTGTTTGTCTCTGCCGGAGTGCAGTCACCTCTGAGCTGCAGGGCCACCCCAGTGAACTTCAGGCTCACGCAGGCAAACGTGCTGTGTGGAGACACAGGAAGTTCAAGGGGAACAGACAGACAGACAGACAGACCGAGCGACCCTGTCATCCGGAGGACCTGCCCTTCCTCCCTCACCCAGAGGAGGGGCAGGTGACGTGCCTGGGTCCTCCTTCAGGCAAACCCGATGGAGCGGGCAGCGCGGCTCGGGGACAAAAAGGCAAGACACCGCACTGGATCAGAGCCCCAACCCTCTCCAGGCAGCCCTGGAGAAATGCCCCAACAAGAGTGAGCCCAAAAGGAGAGCGTGATCAGCCTCAAAAGATTAAAAGAGAGGCCTAGTGCCGATTTATCCTCTCGCAGACCTCTGCAGCGAGGTTTTCACTTGGGTTGAGGGGGCAAAAATAAGCCTTGCGTTTCCTGGCCAGCAGGGATACAAGCTGCTTCCTGTACTAGCCCAGTCAAAATCCAACCTCCGAATGCATTTTGCCAAGAAAAATACTCCTGCCTCAGCTATCTTTACAGTAATTCCTGCCCGACATCAAAGGATTAGCTAACAATGAGCAATTAACACAGTCATGTTCCTTTTCAGGTAGATGGCTTCCTCGTCTGAAGTGTTGTCATGGAGATAAAAACCAGGTGACTGCCAGAAAAATCACTTCCTCACGAACAACTGGTGGGAGAGCCGGGGCTGCTCGGGACCTACCCAAGCCCTGCTGCTTCCTTCCTCCCTCCAGCTTTTGCCAGCTAAAATCCGAAAAGGCAGCGAGGTGCCAAGGTCAGCAACCCCAGGAGGAGCAGGGAAGGAGAAGAGCAGGAGCAAATCACCTTCCAGCATCTCCCCGGCTCCTTTGGGATAAGTGAAGAGGGCTTTTCGGGGCGGCGCCAGGTCGGAAACGCTGAACCCCGATCCTGTTACGGAGCTGCCGCTGACTCCCCCGGCCGAAGAGGAGGAGGAAGAGGCTGCCATTTCACCCCGTCCCAGCCTGAAAGAACCAAAAAAAAAGAAAGAAAAGAGCAAAGCAGAGTTAGGAAGGGCGTCTCGGGAGTTTCCCAGGGCGCGACGCCAGCGACCGCACACGTATCTGCCGGCGGATGAAGGCGGCGAGGTCCAGGAAGAGCCAGGAACCACAGCTTTGGGCTGCCGCTCCCACTCCCTGCCTCGGCAGCCTCAAAGAGCCCGTGGTTTGGAGGCTGCCCTGCCTGCGTGGGAGAGGGGGTGCAGGGAGCTGTGGCACCCAGCAACGGAGGGTAACCCGCATTCTGACCCCTCGGACAAAAAGGGGGCCTGGGAATCCAACGGCACCACCGGAGCACGCGTAAAAATAACCTGGCACGGCTCGCTGGCCTGAGTTCACCAGCCTTCAGCTGCCTGGCACTCTGCCCACTCCCCAGGGCCAGAAAAACTCTTTCCCCATCCCCCCCGCCCCCCCCCGCTCTTCTTTTTGCCTCGTTTCCAGGAGCACAAACATGGAAAATAAAAAAAAAAAAAGAAAAGTCCTGCTGCCTCATAAAACCTGGAAGCCTGCAGGACTGCCAGTTCCAGCACCACATCCTGCACGAAGCCAGGCTGTGCCTCGTCTGCAGCAGCTCTGCTCTGCTTCGCTCCAGATGTGCTTTTGCTTTTAAAACACCACATCTGACCTAAACCGGCAGCAGCCGAGCTCCCATCTGCCCCTACAGCACAAGCCCGGCCGCCTCTCGCATATCCCTTTTCTCAGCCTTTTTTTTTAAGAGGTACTGGCTGTACATTTTGTCACGACGGAGCACTTCAATATGTCACACAGTAAAAAAAGCTGTCACTTGGCACTTGTAAGTGACAGCACTTGCTACTCCTTCAAAACCACTTATAAGCATTTCCCGATTGTCCTACTCATTTAATGCATTTCATAGGCTACTCCTTCAAAACCACTTATAAGCATTTTCCGATTGCCCTACTCATTTAATACATTTCATAGAATGGTTCAGGCCAGAAGGGTCCTCCAAAGGCCATCTAGTCCGACCCCCCCGCAGTCAGCAGGGACACCCCCAACTAGACCAGGTTGCCCAGGGCCTCGTCGAGCCTCCCCTTGAATATCTCCAGGGATGGGGCCTTAACCACCTCCCTGGGCAACCTGTTCCAGTGCTCCACCACCCTCACAGGAAAGAACTTTCTCCTCATCTCCAACCTAAATCTGCTCTTCTCCAGCTTAAAGCCATTGCCCCTCGTCCTGTCACTGCAGGCCTTTGTAAACAGGCTCTCCCCAGCCTTCCTGTAGGCCCCTCAGGTACTGTAAGGGGCTATAAGGTCTCCCTGGAGCCTCCTCTTCTCCAGGCTGAACAACCCCAGCTCCCTCAGCCTGCCCTCGCAGCAGAGGTGCTCCATCCCTCTGATCATCCTCGTGGCCCTTTTATCCTACCTATTTAATACACTTCTGCCAACTCTTTAGGCTATGCAGACGGTGCCTTTGGAGAGCAGGCAAAGATTTAGTAGAGAAAATGGGTTTTTGAAGGGCTGTCACAACTACCAATTGTGTGTTCATTCACAGCCACGCTCAAGGTTGTTTCATTTGCTGTGCGGGTTACAGAACCCAGCAGCAGGCTGCGAAGGAAAACGCCCTGACAAAAAACCAAACTTTTAAAATGGCTACGATACACCCAGCAACACCTTCTCCGACAAACCTGAGCAGGCCCAGCTCCCCCGGCTGGCGAGGGGAAGGCGGGTGATGCTTGGAAGAAGCCGACGGGGGCTGGCAGACCGCTGGCAGCCTCCTAAATCTTTATTTAGAGAGACCTCCCCGGCAGGGTCTTTTATTTTTAAATAAAATCCACCATCACCTCAGGCACCGACGATGGGAGGGGAGGAGTCAGCACTGCGCATGCGCGGAGCCTGCCCCCCCCCCCCTTCCCCCCGGGCGGGGCGGCGCACGCGCACTGCCGCCCGCCTCAGGGCCCCTCCCCGGCTTCCGTAGCCAGCCGCTCCCGGTGAGTGAGGCCTCTCTTCCCCTCCCTCCTTCCCTCCCCCCGCCGCCGCCAGCCTACATCCCACCCCCTCTCCACACACCACCACCACCGCTCCCGTTCATCCCGCCGCCCGCCTCCTCCCGGGCCGGCCAACCCTTCCCGGGCCGCCGCCGCTCCCTCCTTCCCTCCGTGCCTCACCCGGACGCCTCAGCGCAGGCAACGCGCGGGGTGGCGCTCGCGGTGCATGCTGGGGCGGGCGGGGGCGCGCGGCCCCTCCCTACTTCCGGGAGGAGGAGGGATGGGGGGGGCGGTAACCCTTAGCAACGGTCGGGGCGGCCCGTTACCCGCCGGGCCTGTGGCCCCGCTGCCTTTAGCGGCCGTTTATTCGTTCCTTCTCGCCTCGCGCCGGTCCCGGGTGTGGGCTCGGAGGGGCCTGAGTCACCCCGGGAGGGAGGCGGGTGAGGGGAGAAGCGTTAAACTGCCGAGCGTGGCGTCGCTCCGTGCAATAAACCCAGTTCTGAGGAAATTCATCTTCAGAGGGCACCGCTTCGGGGGTTTTTGTCCCCCGCCTCGTTGGGTTGCGCTGTAGCAGGAAGGTAAACTTTCTGGCAGAGGTGATCTTTTTGAGCTTCAGTGTCCAATTGGCGGCCAGTGACGAGTGGTGCTCCTCAGGGATCCATACTGGGACCAGTGGTGTTCAACATCTTTGATGGAGACAGGGACAGTGGGATTGAGTGCCCCCTCAGCAGGTTTGCCGAGGACACCAAGCTGTGTGGTGCAGTGGACACGCTGGAGGGAAGGGATGCCATCCAGAGAGACCTGGACAGGCTGGACAGGCAGGCTTGTGCAAACTGCATGAAGTTCAACCAGGTCAAGTGCAGGGTCCTGCACCTGGGACATGGCAACCCCAGGCACAAACACAGGTTGGGCAGAGAGTGGCTGGAGAGCAGCCCTGAGGAGAAGGACTTGGGGGTGCTTGTGGATGAGAAGCTCAACGTGAGCTGGCAATGTGCACTGGCAGCCCAGAAAGCCAGCCACATCCTGGGCTGCATCAGGAGAAGTCAGCAGATCAAGGGAGGCGATTCTACCCCTCTGTTCTGCTTGTGAGACCCCACCTGGAGCTCTGTGTCCAGCTCTGGAGTCCTCAGCACAGGAAGGACATGGACCTGTTGGAATGGGTCCTGTAGAGGGCCATGAAGATGATCAGAGGGATGGAGCACCTCTGCTGTGAGGACAGGCTGAGAGAGCTGGGGTTGTTCAGTCTGGAGAAGGCTCTGGGGAGACTTTATGGCCCCTTCCAATATCTGAAGGGGCTACAGGAGAGCTGGGGAGGGACTCTTTGTCAGGAAGTGTAGTGACAGGACAAGGGGTAACGGTTTTAAATTGGTAGAGGGGAGATTTAGATTAGATATTAGGAAGAAATTCTTTGCTGTGAGGGTGGTGAGAGCCTGGCCCAGGTTGCCCAGAGAAGCTGTGGCTGCCCCATCCCTGGAGGGGTTCAAGGCCAGGCTGGATGGGGCTTGGAGCAACCTGGGCTGGTGGGAGGTGTCCCTGCCCAGGGCAGGGGGTTGGAACTGGATGATCTCTTAAGGTCCCTTCCAACTCTAACCATTCTATGATTTTTGGCGATGTCTTTTGAGAAGCATCAAGGCAAACCGAGATACCCAATGTTAACAACGTCAGCAAAGGTAGAAATTCAAGCACTGAAGATGTGAAGTCTCTGGCGCAGCCTGTGGAGCGACCCCTGTGGTTTGAGGGTTGGGGGGTAGCTTGGGGAGTGACTTGTGCCTGAACAAACTTATAAATCTCTTACCTCTTCTCCTCCTCTCATTGGAGAGAGAGGTGGGGGAGAGCATCTATCGCTCTTCGGTGGCCAGCCTGGCCCAAACCACGGCACAGATGCCTGCCAGTTCTTCCTCTCACCCTGTTGCTTTGACACCATAAAATGCTCTCCACCATAAAAAGTGCTTTCCACTGAGTTTCTAGTATCATTTGGAATAATTCAGGGTAGGAATTCCACGTGTACACCTCAAACTTGCTGCTCTGAGGTAGAGAGCAGGAGGTGTAACAGCTTACACCGGGTGGTCCCGACCCCTTGGAGCCCTTTCTTTCCCTTCTCCAGCTGCCTCCTGAGATCCAGGGAAGTGGGTTTGCTTTGGAACAGCTCCTCAGGCTTTTGGGACACTGGTGGAGGATGGCAGGTATTGTGAGAGAGCCCAGTGGTGTAAGGGATTGCTTGAGAGAGGCTGGGATCTCTTTGGGCTGCAGTTAGGGAAGATCTGGAGGTGAAACTGTTCAGAACGCTGAGCGGTGCTAAGACAGCTCGTTGACTGAGTTTTAGCTAAAACTTGTGAGTTTCAGGGAGGGTGGTGATCAGTTGCTGACCTCCTTGCAGGGGGCAATAGGTTTGATGCTTTTTTACATATCTTACATTGCTTAGATTTCCCAGCTTTACCTGAGCGTGGCTTACGAGCTGACAAAGAATAAGTTCTTATAAAATTATCCTTTGAATGAGTGACGTAAGGTTTGAGAAGGCATTGTTTTTTCTGGAATCTCTTGTATGTACATATAGGAGGAGTTATTGCTCTTCTGGAGGTGCAGACCTCCCTCTCTGCTGCTGAGCCCCCTCAGAGCTCCCCTTATGCCTCTTACAAATTGTCCTCGAGGAAACCTCGGAATTTACTTTTTCTTGGCATAAATTAGCAACACTGTCTTTGTTTTTGCAATAGGAGGAGGAGGAGTGGGATGGACGTTCTGCGGCCCACCCTGATAAGGATTGGGGGGCGAGTATACAGGAAGAACCTCATTCAAGAGCAGGCCTACCAGCATGAGGAGGAGGAGGAGGATTTCTGTGCAGGTAAAGAGTGCCGTGCGAGGGGTGATGGTGGTGCTGTCGGGATGTCCTACAGATGAAAGCATCGACGCTGGGGACCTTGGGGAGCTCTTGGTGTTCTCTCTGGTCTCTTTACTTGCTTGAGGACCTGCCTGTGTGGTGGAGTGAGGTGTTCAAGAGGGAGAAAAAGACTTTGTGTCACTCCTTGGTGATCCTGCTGGTCAAAGAGGGGACCTAATCCTGGTTACCGAGTGTGGGTTTGGGTGTCTGTGCTGCTGACTGTCAATTATATTTGCTGGCTGTGAAAGATCTCCAGTAAAGAGGGAAAAAAATAAGCTCCAGGTTCCTGAAGTGCCTTTCATTTTGGTAGCGTGGTTATTTGGAGATACTGCAGGAGTGGAAGCTGCTGGCTAAATATCCTCTGTCCTTGCAGTGTTTGATCCCTTGAAGAACTGGCCTCTTATAATGTGGCTTTTGGAAGGTGTTAACCTATTTTGGGGGGCAAAATTCTTCCTCTTCTGATGTATTTTACTTTGTCTTTCTGGCTGTATGTTTGTTTTAGTTCTGCGTGAGTTGTGGACATGGGAAAGCTCAGCTGGTATTTCCCAGATGGAAACAGTTGTGGGTGTTGTGTCTTGTTTCTCCCTCCATCCCGCCTTTCAGTGGATTGAACAAAACTTTAATAACTGGTTTGCCATGCAAATTTGTCCCAGAGAGGAGACAAAAACCATGGCCTCTTTCTGGAAGTCATCTTTGGTCCTAACAGGCACGACTGAATGGCTCACAGATGAAAGGTGCATCTATTCCTCCGTGCTGAGTGTGTCAGAATTTCTGTTTTCCAAAACACTCTCCCTGAACCCTTGAACCAAAACCATCCTGGCTTTTTATTTGTATTCTTCTGCAACACTAAATACCTGCTCAGGTCCCTGAATGGACTGGTGGCTTCCACCCTGCCAGGAGAGAAAATCTGGGCTGTAACTACTGCTTTCCTGCATCTCCCAGCCTGGTGGATTTAGAAGCAGTCATTATATTTTCCCAAGTTAGTAGTATGGTGAAAAAAAAGCAGTTAGCCACAATGGAGAGGAATCTGTTTCTTCCTTTATTTAATCTTGGGAGAAGGTGACTGTGAGACCATTGTCCTACATAAAGCGCTGCTAAACTTTATGGAAGTTGTAGAAGGTCTATTTGTTTTGTGTTTTTTTTTTTTATAGTAGCCCCTGGTGACTGCACAGATGAACCCTGTGATGCCTTTGTGGTGGAAGAGACTGAGAAGGGCTTCCAGTGCAGAGTGGAGGTTCCCAGCCCATTATACAAGTGAGCTTATGTATTTCTGGTTTATTTGAGTTGCTGCTTGGAAGCAGTTGAGGGCAGAATATTTTAATTTTTTTTTTTTTTTTGAGGTCAGGATAAGTGCTGGATCTCCAAAATGCGTTCCGTTTTGTGGATATGGATTTTAGCATTTGGGAAGGGAAAACTGGCAATGCCTTTTTAGTGCAGTTGTGCCACGCTTGACTCCTAAGCCTTCCCTCTGACAAAGACAGCAGGTGGTGCTTTCTTGCTGGCAGGAGAGTTTTTTGAGCATTTTTCCCTTGAACATAAAAGCGTCAGAGAGGGTGGAAGAAGGGGAGGAAGAACTGGGGCGAGCAGCCTGGCAGGGGGAGTTTGTGAAAGCTTTGAGAGAAAGCACACACGAGTGGAATTGACTATTGGCTCGAATCTGGTGTTTACTGGGGAAGCCTGGAGTGTTCAAAGCTTTATCTAGTTATTTTTGACAGTTTTATTGGTTGAATAGTTTTAGTGAGATGTAGAGAAGGAAAGCTGTTCTGTTGTGTTTGGATGCTGGCAAATGACTACGCTGAGCATGGCAAAAAGCAGAAAAAGTGCCTTTAGTTCTTTGTCAGCTGGGGTAGTGGGGAAAAAAAGGGTAACCCAGCTGATGAATAAGCAGCAGAGCTGTTATGACTTATTTTAACTTAAGCCAGTTGTGAGCCACGGCTCAACATCATTGCCTGGCCCTAGGTGGGTCACGTGTGG